AAATTGGTCATGTGACTAGGATATGAGGGCGTCCAGAGACCCCAGGGAATTAATCGTCATTAATCATTATCGGCTAAATACAACAATTAATCGTGATTATTTTTTTGGCCAATACCTTACTGTGGTCACAGGAACATGACGCTGTTTGTTGGTAGTCTGGTAGCTTTTACCTTTTAACATGATATTTAACTGAGCCACTAAGACAGCGTTCTTCTTTTCGTTTTCTGCTCCTCGTTAAGTTTGATCAACTTAGTGAGACCAAACTTCACAGTGGCTCTTTTGTATGGACTGAATGGCTACTAAGGCTGCTGTAGTTATTCTGTCAAATAAACTGACAGAAAACTTATTTTCAGGAAACAGTTGTGTGTGTCAGTGTCAGGAATCAGTGTAAAAAAACAAAATTAACAAAAAAGCAACTGGTGTGATGACAGCCGCATTACTTTTGCGAATTTGGCATTAACTAGACTGTTTGTTTCAATCTAAAACATGTCTAAATGCAAGAATTAATAGTCTCTAACAGATCTGTCTGTAGTATTTTAGCATGTCTTTGTAAGCAACAAATCATTTATTTTCAGGTTGTTGTTTTTTTTTTTTTGTTTTTTTTTTTGCTCTATCACATGACAAAAACATGCAAATATACATATACCTTTTGTTTCAATGAGCTGTAAGGAAACCAACAARTGTATCTAAGCCTCCACTTGCATTTACTACCTCTCAGCTGGAATGATACTCGACAGCTTTGGATTTCCTGAAACAAAGTCCGGTAACTTCAGGCTCTGGGAAATATGCTTTGCATCTTCAGAAGAGCAGAAACTGGTTCTCGTGAGGCTAAATGTCACCGTGCAGCAACAAGGACAAAAGTCAACAATAATTTTTTTGTTGTTTTTTTAACTTCTTGTTTTGCAGATGTAGTGGTCGGGGTGGAATAAACAGTTCCACCTGTCTCTGACCTTGGTCTCAGAAGTCTGTGAAACCACAGTAATTGATTATAGATTTTTAAGTTTAACTATTTTACTTAACTAAACTTAAAAATCTATAATCAATTACTGTGGTTTCACAGTTAAAGTTCAAGCTGTGATTTACATCAAAGCACAATAAAACATGGTATTATCATTCTTTTTGTGTTTTCTTTTTATACATCGATAAAATTATGAATAAAATTAGATTATTCTGTTTATTATCTGATTAATAAAAAAAATGTCTCTTTACTGTTTAAGAAAACCTGTTATGACTTTAACTTGAACAGAGTTGTGTCTCTCTGAAGGAGGACTTCTGAGACCAAGGTCAAAGACAGGTGGAACTGTTTATTCCACCCCTAGGTGACCACTACACAGCGGAGCATCAATCTTTTTTATTTTATTTTATTTTATTTTATTAGAAAAAGCATAATAACACAGAAGGGACATTTAGGAATATTAACTGAGATGGCGTCTCTTACGCTTTGAGCTCCTCTTCAGCCTCGCCTCTGCTGAGCTTCGGACAGCAGGGATGCTCCCGTCACACGGATGCAGATGGAGAATCTAAGTGTTTCTGCAGGGTGGTGGCCGGCTGCCTGTAATTTACGGTATGCAGTGGTCTGTCACTTACGCCCAGACGGTTTTAATGAGAGGGATGCCTGAATAAGAACGGTACCAGGAGAGAGAGAAAAACGCTCTCACCAAGCGCCGATGTTTTGAGAAAGGAAGCAGAGTTCATGCAAACAGCCTTTTCTCTGATGAGCTGGTTTGAACAGGAACAATCTGATCTTCAGGTTCTTTGACAACAATCAGCAGATTTATGGAGCGTGCAGTAAAAATATTATGTGTTTACATCTTTCTCCTCTGATCTAGAACAGCAGCAGTGATTTAACGGTGTTGAGCRGGTTTACTCTTGAGGGTCTTGAAGGCCTAGCATTTCACCTGCTTAAAGGTTTCACAAAATCCACTTTTTAACTCATTTTGTTGTCATTGCAGTCTTTTGGAGAGCAGTAATTTTGAATTTAGTCTCTCCCAGTGCTGCTTGGATATCTTTATATTCTGTTTGGGCCCCAACTTAATGATTTAAATATGAAAAATAAGGATTTAAAAGCAGGATATGTTTCCTTTAAAAATGATCTTGCATTGAGAGGCTAGTGACTAGCATGGATAAGATAGCATTATCATCTCCAGTGCTAACTCCAGCCTATCCATGCTAGTCGCCAGCCTCTYCAGCGCTAACGCAAATGATTAGTCTCCTTCTCATTTGCCTGTGCTGGCCTCTCAGTAAGCGGTGCCAGCCTATCATTAATCAGGTCAATAGTTGGCTTAGGAATGGATGTAGCAACCTCTGATTGCGCAATAGTCTAAATTTTTGCCCTCATGTTGCACCATAAAAATATAGCTATTCATATTTTTGTGTTTTTTTAATCAGGGGTTCTTGAGATATTTTAACAGTCGCAAAAACAGTAAGGTAGCAGAAGTGTTGTAAATGTGATTTTTTTTAGGATAAATTGCATGTAATGTGCAATTTGCAGAAAATTCTTTCCTTTTATTTGTTTTTTTGTATAATTTAGTTTATATTTCTATAATAACACCCAACTTGTTGCTGGTTGTTTTYCTATAATCTGAGTGGTTGTGAAAGGAAGCCAACCACCTTATCAAGGAAATTTGTAAAGGCAGCCTCATCTATGATTTTAGGGCCATTTTAGAAAGTCACTTCAGCCAAACACAGCGTGGGATCATTTCCAGGCAGATGTTTGTTCCAGTTATTGTCTTTAATTAAAGCCAAACTGTAGAAATAGAAACTGTGACTCTGTGATTCTGTGGTTGAGTCGTGCTCTTTTCGTTTCAGGGTTGGTGAGATAAAGATCGCTTGAGGAAAAATAAATACGGGTCTGTAAGGCAGCATTTTGGCACATACTAACAGTCTTATAGTAAACAAACTGCATCTGGAGAACCACACCATATGGGTGGTAAATATGTATTTTTGGGGGTGCAAATTATTTTTATAATCAGATAATTGGGTGTTTGTTTTTGCAGTTAAATGACTTAAAATGACTTTTGTARCGGTCGCGTTTAGAAATTGAACATTTTAATCGTATCTGCAGATTTGTTCAAAAGAGTTCAGCTCCTTTTCAACATTTCGTTTTCTCCGTTAGGGTGCAGGAGAGCTTTCTGAACCAGTTTGTGCGACTGATGTTCAAACACACTGATAGTTCACATGGTGGGTCTATTTTTAGATGGATGGGGGAAAGACAGTGTGTCAAAAAGTCAACATCTCTTTTGATTTATGATACAAGGTTGCAGAAATGCTTCTTTGTGCATTAGCATCAGTGACTGACAAGCTCCTAACTCACTCTGTGCAGATCATGTTTCATCTGGTAGAAAACAGACTCGGCACAAACATCCACTTTATGTTGAACAAGTAAATTGATTTCTGCTTTTGTTGTGTAAATCAGCATCTTTACTTAAATCACAACCATCTGTTTAAGTGGCCACCTTAAATGGAAACTAATAGACTAACTAATAGCTTTTAAGTGCATACATTCTTTGCTGTGTGACTCCATATAAGGACATTTTCCTTACCAGGCTGCTGGGTTCACGTCTGTGAAGTCTGAGAACGAGTTTACTGTAAACACTGTCCGTCTGTGTCGGTCTCTCTCTTAAATCAGTGCGTTTGCCTCATCTAAAGGCTCGTGTTGTGCCATCTGTGGCCAGCTGGTCGGGTAAAAGTCTCACTGGTGCTGATCATCAGTCCGATCATTAGCTGGATAATCAACATATAGTTTCTCTTCAGCTCCTGTTTTATGGTTGACACTGAAGCAATAACTGCTGCATGTATGAGACGTTTTCATGCTTCTGTGTAATATAATGATGCTGTAGAAAGTAGTTGTTTCTGGAGCTTATTTCAGCTGCGATGTTGCAAAGCTTAAAGGGTAAATGTTTACCAAAACCCTTGCAGTTACTCCACACGTCAAGCTTAAGGCCTGTGGGCCAAATCTGACCCTTGTTAACATTTTATCTCGTCCCGAAGGTACTAATTTAAATATGAAATAGTTTCTTCTTTTTTTGTCACATTCTTCTCATGACAGGTGGTCAACTTTCAAGCCAAAAAAAATGAAATTTGAGTTTTACATTTTGGTGTAGAAAGAGTAATTATCTTTTGCTATATTATTTTTTTCTATTTTAAAGTCAAACAGTTGGAGTTTTGGTGAGAGTTTTAGTTTTGTTTTGTTTTCTTGTGATAAAATGTATCTCTAAGCTATAATAAATGAAAAAGTTGTTGATAAGAGTAAGGCATTAAAAATGACATGTGTCTTGTTGTCTTTATTCCATAGGTAATGTGTGTTTTAAAATAATTTGTTTTATAGAACATTTCTTCAACAAATTTTGACGGAAATTGGCCTTTAGTTTAACCCACACAGCTACAGAAAGAGAAGACCCAGTTTAAAACCTTTCAAACCAGGATTTATTTTTGTTATTGCTGTTATGTGATCTTCTTCATCCTTTTGTTTTTATGTTTTTTTGTTGGGAAGCTCTTTGTGATTTTTGTCTCTGAAAGATATTAAAGTATAATAATACATTTTACAAACTTACTTATCTGTATTTCCTTTTCATTTTAGCTTTGAGTGTTTTGCTTGCATTTTGTGTCACCACGCCCCAGACATGGTTGGTTAAACATACAAAAAAAACAGTCCACATGGCTGCATATTTGCTTTCAAAGTTTGTGAATATATAAATTACATTTCTGAAAACAAAAAATTTATAAACTTTATTAAGGTAGCATTATTTAATAAGTCAGTGAAAGGCAATTGGACACCAAATGTTCTACAATAAAGACGTGCTACGGTGCCTCGTCAGAATTTATCCCAAATAAATTGGCTGTGAGCACTAAGAATACCGAGAAACAAACTTTAATAACGTTGAAACTATCTTTGATCACTTGTATCCTCACTTTTGTGTTTTTGTCTTTAAAAATGAGTTGTTTCTGAATCTTCCTCTGATCCTGCACTCATGGAATCTCTCTGTCTTCTTGTCCTTCAGCTCTCGGCAGCAGCCTGATTTACAAACAGCCCAGCGCCTCCACCGTGCAGGATTGTTTGAATCGAGCGACTGCAGTGACCACTAACAGGACCAGAGGAGGGGTCCATGGCAGAGGACCTGGCAGCAGGCCTCGTCTGCCGTCTAAACCTGAAGGTGCGTGTTCACACATCGCATTGACTGAAACCAAATCATTGTTTCTTTTTTGCTACTGAGTAAAACTTTACAGCTCAATAAATGGTTACTGTTGTGTAAATTGTCCTTGAATCAGTAAACCACGATCAGTGAACCTCCTTTTTTGTTTGGTGTGAGTTAATCATTCTACAAAGATAATAAAAAAGGAGCGACTCCATTCATTTTGCTGCTGTAAATCAAATCCAGAAACAGTTGAAAACCTGAGATCTAATCATCTCAGTTGCTTTCTGCAGACTTTGGCTGCATGTTTGATGTCACCTGCTGACCCTGACAGCTGGGCCACTTGGCAGAGATTTTACTGCCCTCTTCTGTTTGAAGCAGAAGCTGCATATGTTCTGCACATTTATCTGCATACATTTTTTA